CCCTTCTTCTGGGACACCCACTGGCCCACTCAAACGATGCTTGCATAAAACACTCGGGCCTGTGCTATTTTACAACAGTTATTATACAATGAAGTGCTTGGAAGTGTGTGAAATATCTTTTATTTCTTGTGCTCTTAAGGAGGCTGACTGTGAGGGGCAAGGAAGACATTTTTTTTAAAACCCCCAAAAATCAAACCAAACCTCAGCTTGTTTCCTTACCTTCAGAGCACAAAAATGGAAACACTTGCAGCCTCCATTCTAAGCCGGTAGCCAGCCTTGAGATGCCGTGACCAGTCTGGGAAGAGAGCTCCATCCCTCTTCTTGTAGGCCCCTTTTAGTCATCAGGCCAGCAGTACCATGCCTCTTCAGAAATCTCAGCTGGCTCTTTGTTTTTTTTTTTTTTTTTTTTTTTTTTCTTCTTTGTTTGAGGCAGAGTCTCACTCTGTAGCCCAGGCTGGAGTGCAGTGGCGCGATCTTGGCTCACTGCAACCTCTGCCTCCCGAGTTCTACTTCAAGCAATTCTCCTGCCTCAGCCTCCCAAGCAGCTGGGATTACAGGCATGTGCCACCAGGCCCAGCTAGTTTTCGTATTTTAGTAGAGACGGAGTTTAACCATGTTGGCCAGGCTGGTCTTGAACTACTGACTGCGTGGTCTACCTGCTTCGGCCTCCCAAAGTGCTGGGATTACAGGCATGAGCCGCCGAGCCTGGCCTATTTAAAGGCTTCTTTTGAATGTCAACAGAAGAAACTGAGGGGCAAGGAGGGAAAGAGAAGAAGGGACACAGCAGTGGGTGGTTGTGGAAAACTGGATTGACCCTCTCCAAGTTTTAAGAGAGAACCCAGAGTGCTGCCTTTTGTTTTGTCAGGAAAATTCCATGATGTGTCTGAGAGTACTCACTGGACTCCGTTTCTTAATGCAAGCATTCATTACATCCGAGAGAACTATCCTCTTCCCTGGGAGAAGGTAGGCATGGTCCTCTAATTCTTAGAATATTTAGCACCAAACCTGCCTTGTACTGTTTTGGGACTTGCGTTTACCCCATTTATACCACTCCGTAAGGGCTGCTCACCATTCCACCTTTAGTGTCATGTGCATTGCTTGGATGTAGTAGATGGTTAGCTAATGCTTGAATTATAGACACAATTTGAGATATATCTCTTCATCATTTAGCTCCGATAGTAATTAATCTGAAAGCACTTCCAAAAAACACACCACAAAACATTTCCAAAAGTCCTTTTGGGGGTGGGTGGGTGTGTGTGTGCGCGTGCGTGTGTTTTGTTTTGTTTGTTTTTTTGAGGCAGAGTCTCACTCTGTCCTCCAGGCTGGACTGCAATAGCATGATTTGGGCTCACTGCAACCTCCACTTCCCAGGTTCAATCAATTCTTGTGTCCCAGCCTCCTGACTAGCTGGGATTATAGGCGTGAGCCACTGTACCCAACCTTTTTTTTTTAATAACTAGAAACTGCAATGTACTCACCTGAAATTTTTTGTTACATTTCAATAATATAAATGAATTTATATTTATTAAAACTTTTAATAGGATTGTTACTATGAAATCACTCAAACACACATGACTCTAATTTACTTGTTTGGCAGGACACAGAGAAATTGGTAGCTTTCTTGTTTGGAATTACCTCTCACATGGTGGCAGATGTCAGCTGGCATAGCCTGGGCATTGAACAAGGATTCCTTAGGACCATGGGAGCTGTGAGTACATCCCTTTATGGGGAATGACTTTATGGGAGTCATACTGTCATACCTAAGATCCAAACCTGACCCTTTTAGAAGAAATGAAAATGTTAGGTTATTCAGACTTCTGCCCAAAGCACTGTTGGGTTGGAGGTCCCATCTTCTCCAGTTCCTTCCCGTCATTCATCTTGCCAGCTGTGTAGATTCATCCACAAGAGCAGAGCGGCTGGTGTATACTGAAGACAGGGGTAGATGCAAGGTTTTGTTTTAGTCACGAAACTATTTGAGAAATCTTAGGTTTTATTCAATCTGTCTCTTAATAAGGATATGAATACCTGCCACTTAGTTCTATTCAAAACTAGTATTTCTACCCTTTTGGACTTCTTGTTTTTAACTTCCTATATGAAAATGTCATATCCCCAACCTGAAAATTGTGATCTTACCTGAGGACTTAGCCTCTGGAAGGCCCCTGCTTAATGTTAATTACATTCTGTTAGAATGTGTGTTATATTTAATTGGTGATATTTATTAAACATTTATTAAACATATAAAATGTTGAATTGTTAATATGTATGTTTCAATATTAATTACATTCTGTTAGAAATTTCAACTCAGAGATTGTTGTATATACTCTACAAGGCAGAATTGTCTGTAGTCGCTTTATTACTGGACATTTGTGTCCAACTTGGTTGCCTAGAGATGTGTGTGTGTATATATATTCTAATAAAATGTTAGTGTGAAAACCGAGTCTACTACGCATCCTCAGCAGTTCACTGAGCTAGCTGTCGTCCCCCCGCCACCAGCTTGATTGTGGGAGTGAGAGTTGGGGCTACGATTTGTAATACACACCAGATGGTTCTCTTTCTTTCTCAGATTGATTTTCACGGCTCCTATTCTGAGGCTCACTCGGCTGGTGATTTTGGTACCGTTTATTTTATTTGCCAAATTTCCTCCTTGTGCTGTAGTTCACTGACACTGAGATCACCACTGTGCTTTCAGTGTGTGTCTTTAATATTTTGCCTGTTGCATGTATTCTCTGTCTAAGGCTGCAGTTTATTTAGAGACATACCTCATTTAACATAGAGATGTAGTTCTAAAAACTTGGGTTTGGGTACTTTTCGTTAAAAAAAAACTACCTTTTATTGTTAACGTCATAATTTCAGAAAATCTTTACTTATACATTGGGTTAAAATTCATTAGCTAATGTCTCTACTCTCCTAGTACTTTAGCCTTAAACTGGTGAACCCTGCCTTTTGTCTGCAGTAGTAAATTACTTTTAAAAATTTAAACGAGGTGGTAAATGGTGTTTAGTAAAAGAAGCCCTTGTGGTGTATATTCCCTTAAAGTAAAACAAAAAACAAAAAACACCTTTGGTTATATGGCTAATTCTTTCTTAATGTATATGCTTCACTAAGATTTTTACAAGTTCTTTTTCCTTTAAAAAAAAAAAAAAAAAAAAAAAAAAGCATGCCTTTACCTAAAACAGTGAACAAAAACATGTATTAATGTGAAAAACTAATAATCTGGCTTGGCAGACCGCATGTTGAAAGACACATAGTATGTTTGTCACTAATCCACCAAATGTCAATATTTTTCTCATGCCCTAGGAGGAGATGTGTTGAGCCAGTTTGAATTTAATTTTAATTACCTTGCACGACGCTGGTAAGAGCAATGTACATTTAAATCTGTGATATCTAAATGGCATTTAGAACCTGGACTCTTTTTCTTAGAAAATGTAACTTACAATTTAATTAGAAGCCTTCTGCATTGGTAAATTATGAAAAGCAAAACTGTAGATTAGAATAGTCTGAGTAGATTCTTGGAAAAATTGAATTCCACTGAATTTTGAATGGAGTAGAGTTGACGAGTCATAGCTTTACTTTTTCAAAACGATCATCTCAGCTTATGCTCCCATCAACTTTGTATAACCATTCTGCTGCTTCTGCATTCTCCAATACTTGGTATTATCCAACTGTTAAAATTTTCCAGCCTGTTTGTGTATAAAGGTATCTCACTAAGGTTGCAATTTGCATTTCCCAGATTAGTAATGAGGTCAAAGTTTTCTGTTTTATGGATCATTTGTGTTTGATTTTAAGTGAAAACTTTTTCCAGTTTTGAATCTATTTTTCTGTTGGATTGCTTACCCTTTTTATTTATTTGTGAGTATTTATATATTCTGGCTTCTAATTTACATTTAAATATGTGATTTAAATATTTAAAATATTTTCTCTTGTCAGTTTGTCACTTTGTTGTTACAAATGTCTTTCACAGTTTGTGGTGTGTCTTTTCACTTATGTGTATGTTGACTAACAGAATTGATTAATTTTCGTGTAGTTGAATCAGTTTTTCCTTTCTAATCTGTACTGCTAATGTCTTATTTAAGAAATCCATTCTGGTTGGGCATGGTGGCTCATGCTTGTGATCCCAGCACTTTGGGAGGCTGAGGCGGGTTGATAACGAGGTCAGGAGATTTGAGACTATTCTGGCCAACATGAGGGAACCCTGTCTCTACTAAAAATATAAAAATTAGCCAGGTGTGGTGGCGTGTGCTTGTAGTCCCAGCTACTCCGGAGGTTGAGGCAGGAGAATCACTTGACCCTGGGAGGCGAAGTTTGCAGTGAGACAAGATCCAGCCACTGCACTCCAGCCTGGCAACAGAGCAAGACTCTGTCTCAGAAAACAGAAAAGAAATAGGTTCTTAGCAGGGTGTGGTGGTCCAGCACCTGTAGTCCAATCTACTTGGGAGGCTGAGGTAGGAGGATCACTTGAGCACAGGAGTTTGAGGCTTCCGTGAGCTATGATTGTGACACTGCACTCCAGCCTACACAACAGACCCTGTGTCAAGGGGAAAAAAAAAAAAAAAAAGGAGGCCGGGCTCGGTGGCTCAGGCCTGTAATCCCAGCACTTTGGGAGGCTGAGGTGGGTGGATCACGAGGTCAAGAGAGCGAGACCATCCTGGTCAACAGGGTGAAATCCCGTCTCTACTAAAAAAAAATACAAAAATTAGCTGGGCCCGGTGGCGTGCACCTGTAGTCTCAGCTACTCGGGAGGCTGAGGCAGGAGAATTGCTTTAACCCGGCAGGCGGAGGCTGCAGTGAGCTGAGATTGCGCCACTGCACTCCAGCCTGGAGCCTGGCAACAAAGAGAGACTCTGTCTCAAAAAAAAAAAAAAAAAAAAAAAGGAAAGAAAACCCATCTACCCTGAGGGCAAATGGTTATTTTCTAACATAGACTTCTAAAGCTTTTATAGTTTTATTTCTTAGCTTTATGTCTTTTCATTTAACTAGAGTTAAATTTTTGTATGTTCTGAGATGTAAATCTAATTTTATTTTTTTCCTGTGGAGATAACGAATTGTCCCAGAATGATTTATCAATAGTCTGCCCTTTCTCTACTGATCTGCAGTAGCTTCTCTGTTTTGGTTTTGTTTTCCTTTGTCTGATTTTTTTTTTTTTTTTTTTAAGACGGTCACTCTGTTGCTCAGGCTGGAGTGCAGTGGTGTGTGATCTCGGGTCACTGCAACCTCCAGCTGCAAGGCCTAAGTGATCCTCCCACCTCAGCCTCTGCATAGCTAAATTTTAGTGTTTTGTAACAGATGGGGTCTTGCCATATTGTCCAGGCTGGTCTTGAACTCGTGGGCTCAAGTAATCCGCCTACCTTGGGATTGGCGGGTGTTGGGATTACAGGTATGAGCCACTGAACCCCCTCTAGGTTAGAAATTAAAATGTTACTTGTATGCATGGGTCAGTTTCTGAGCTTTCTGTTAGGTCCTTTTGGTCCCCAGACAATACTGATTATTTTAATTGCTGTAGCTTTGTAATAAGCCTTGGCCTCTGTCAGGGTAGATCTTTTAACTAGCCCTTTTCTTCACAGTGCCTTGCCTATTTTTTGCCTTTGTTCTTTCAAATAAGATTTAGGTTCAAGTTGTCATGTTCTAAGAGAAACTTTGCTGGAATTTTTGATTAAGGGTTTATTGAATCTAGAGATGAATTGGAAAATTAACAAATTTGAAATAGTGAGGCCAGGCACCGTGGCTTATGCCTGTAACCCCAGCACTTTGGGAAGTCAAGGCAGGCGGATCATCTGAGGTAAGAGGTTTGAGACGAGCCTGACCAACATGGTGAAACCCTGTCTCTGCTAAAAATACAAAAATTAGCCTGGTGTAATATGGCACATGCCTGTAATCCCAGCGACTTGGTAAGCTGAGGCAGGAGAATCACTTGAACCCGGGAGGCGCAGGTTGCAGTGAGCTGAGATCATGCCACTACACTCCAGCCTGGGTGACAAGAGCAAAACTCTTGTCTCCAAAAAAAAAAAAAAAAAAAAAAAAACTTTTAAAAAAAAAAAAAAAAAAAAAAAAAAAAAAACTTACATTCAAATAAAAAGATTTGTAAGGGGGTATAAATAAGATAACATCACTATTTTTTCTTTTTATCAGGTGGATCTACTAATTTTTTTGTTTTTAAATTTATTATGCTTTAAGCTCTGGGGTAAATGTGCAGAATGTGCAGGTTTGTTACATAGGTATACAGGAGCCATGGTGATTTGCTGTATCCATCACCCCGTCATCTACATTAGGTATTTCTCCTAATGCTATCCCTCCCCTAGTCCTCTACCCACCAACAGGCCTTGCTGTGTGATGTTCCTCTCCCCGTGTCCATGTGCTCTCACTGTTCAACTGCCACTTATGAGTGAGAACATGCGGTGTTTGGTTTTCTGTTCTTGTGTTACTTTGCTGAGAATGCTGGTTTCTAGCTTCATCCATGTCCCTGAAAAGGACGTGAACTCATCCTTTTTATGGCTGTATAGTATTCCATGGTGTATATGTGCCACATTTTCTTCATCCAGCCTGTCTTTAATGGGCATTTGGGCTGGTTCCAAGTCTTTGCTATTGTGAACAGTGCTGTAATAAACATAGTGTGCATGTGTCTTTTTTTTTTTTTTTTTTTTGAGACAGAGTCTTTTGCTCTTGTTGCCCAGGCTGTAGTGCAATGGTATGATCTTGGCTCACTGCAACCTCTGCCTCCCAGGTTCAAGTGATTCTCCTGCCTCAGCCTCCTGAGTAGCTGAGATTATAGGCATGTGCCACCATGCCCAGCTAATTTTGTATTTTTTAGTAGAGACGGGGTTTCTCCATGTTGGTCAGGCTGGCCTGGAACTCCTGGCCTCAGGTGATCCGCCCACTTTGGCTTCCCAAAGTGCTGGGGTTACAGGCGTGAGCCACAGCTCCCAGCGACAAGTGTCTTTCTAGAAGAATGACTTACTATTCTTCTGGTATATGCCAAGTAATGGGATTGCTGGATCAAATGGTATTTCTAGTTCTAGATCCTTGAGGAATCTCCACACTGTCTTCCACAATGGTTGAACTAATTTACACTCCCACCTACAGTGATCTACTGATTATGAAATAAATTAGTTTAAAAAATTTCCCCCATGAGGGTAGATTTTTCAGTTTCTTACAGTTGTGTCAAAGTTTGTTTCAGTATGTATATTTTGAAGATATATTATTGGGAACATCCAATTTCAAAAGGATATCTTTCTGGTGAATTGAGCTTTTTGTTGTGATGCAGAAACCGCCTTTATCTCTAATAATAGTTGCTGCATTGCATGAAAGTCTGCTTTATCGGATATGACAGGAGTTCTACTGGTCATGTTTGGTGATATTCCACGTTGCTAGAATAGGTAGGCTCAGGTTAAGAGCTGCTGAGATGATGCCACTGCTCCAGGCTGGGCGACAGAGTGAGACTCTGACCCATCTGAAAAACAATAAAAAAAACCTTCCAGGTCCCACACTACAGTGTAGGGTGTGGCACATGTCCTCAGAGCAAAAGCTGATTGTCCCATTTGCTCACCTCTCAGGGTGTTCTGTTTCCAGTTGTTTTTGGCCTTAGAAAAATTTCTGCTGTCCTGCTAGCCTGGTGATTCATTTAAAAAAATATTTTCTGTTATTTTGTCTGGCCTTTTAAGCTCTTTTTATTGGGAATGCAATTCCAGTGCTGCTCTTAGAAAAAATGAGTCTCTCAATTGTTTTTCTTTTACCTGCTAAAAGAAATGTACTAAAATCAGATTTTACTGGTTGTGATTTTTAGCTTGTTTATTCTAAGGATTTTAAAATTAAAAGATGATTCAGTATAAATCTGATTTTCAAATGCTGCTCCTTCCAACTGAACTAATATTTGTGAACCAAAAGCCTGATTGAGAATTGTTTTCATTGCTTTATACTGTAAACCAAGAAGCACTGGAGACAAGTCTCAATCAAATTAGGAAGTTTGTTTTTCCAAGATTAAGGACATACCCATGACACGGCCTCAGGAGGTCCCGATGGCAGCATGTGCCCAAGGCGGTGGGAGCACAGCTTCGTTCTCTATACATTTTAGGGAGACGTGGGGCATCAATCAATACATGTGAAATGGCTATTGGCTAGTTAGCTCAGTTGGTTAGATCGTGGTGCTGATGACACCAGCGTCATGGGTTCAGTTCCCTTACAGGCCACTTGTTTGAACTGAGATCGCCCCACTGCACTCCAGCCTGGGTGACAGAGTGAGACTCCATCTCAAAAAAAAAAAATTAAATAAGTAAAATGTCCATTGGTTCACCCCAGAAAGATGGGACAACTCAAAGCGATCAGGAGGCTTCCAGGTCAGGTAGATAAGAGACTTTCTTCCCGGTTTCCGATTAGCCTTTCACGAACATGCGGCTTACAGGAATAGTGTCACTTAGGCCTTAGGCTGGCTTAGTGAAGCAGTTGGGCAGAGGAAGCAATCAGGTACACGTTTGTCTCAGGGGAGCAGAGGGATGACTTTTGAATTCTGTCTGTCCTTTGTCCACAGGAATTTCCTTGTGGGTAAATTGTGGGGAAATAGGTAGCTTTGTAGCAATCTTATGTAGAAATCGTTTGGGACTCAGGTTTGCCCTACACGGTTCCCAGCTTGACTTTTTTTCCCCTTTAGCTTAGTGATTTGGGGATCCTCAGATTAATTTCCCTTTCACAATACTTTTATTCTTAGCATACTTTTTTTGTATACTTTGTATACTCTGAAATTAAGATGTCAGAGCGAGGAGGCATTTTTATAATAGTGTTTATAATTCTTGGGAATAATTCAACTTGAAAGAATGAAAATACTTTACCTCTTGAACTCTGAATTCACAAAATTAAGCAGTCCTTTTGCACTGCAGTTTCCAATCTGTATACCTACATGAATATTTGATTAAGTTATCAGTTGTTTGCTCTGCGTCACTGGGCAAATTGTTTAGCTTTTCTTTGCCTTCATAATTTCTTCTTATGTACAATGGGAATACAGCAGTACTAACCACCTGAGATCACTGCTAGGATTAAGTTAGTGCATGTAAAGACTTGTACAAGGTGTCTGGCACAAAATAATCCTGGAATAACTGTTAGCTGCAGCTGTTACTGTTATTTTCAGCTTCAGAATCAAACAACTCTTATTTTATTGTGCATTTTTCAGGTATGTGCCAGTCAAAGACTTACTGGGAATTTATGAGAAACTCTATGGTCAGAAAGTCATCACCGAACGTGTAATTGTTGACTGTTCACATATCCAGTTCTTAGAAATGTAAGTAGAACTCAGAGGACAGTATGCAACTGATTTTGTTGTGACTTCCTTAGCACAGTTTTCATGTTTTAGTTTCCTGAGACTGGATTTTGGATTTATGGATTCTGCTTATTGAAAGGCAGTTGCATGACAGTGGATATGGGTGGATGAAACTTGTTCTTCATTATTTGCTTCATTTCTCTGTTAGGAACTGCAACTCACAGTCAAAATTATTGCTTATGTTGCAGGTACGGTGAGATGCTAGCTGTTTCCAAGGTAAAGGCTTCGTTCTTCTACATCTAAAAGGATGGTAAAGGTTCCAGCTATAACACTGTGTTAATTAATTTATTTTTCATTCTCTCTGCCATAGCTGTATCCCAGTTACTCTACAAAGTCCCCGTTTTTGGTGGAACAATTCCAAGAGTATTTTCTTGGAGGACTGGATGATATGGCGTTTTGGTCCACGAATATTTACAATCTAACAAGCTTCATGTTGGAGAATGGGACCAGGTGAATTAATATTCCATTTCTAATACCAGTCACTCCCTCCTTTTTTACCCCAGGCCCCAACATAACTCTTGGGTTTTTCAACTGATCACATGAAAAGAAAAGAAAACAAAAAATCTCATGAAGTGCTTTCCTAACCTATTCAAAGAGAGAAAGAATGGAAACTGAGTCGTCTTATAAACCTGACTGGTTCCCATCTACTTGGCTTGGTTGATGCTGCTCGTGTTTTAGAAATAGATAGTGCAAAATTTGGGGTCTGCGAGAAATGGCTCATGCTCCATTTGTTTGTTTCTTTTTGAGACAGAGTCTTGCTCTGTTGCTCAGGCTGGAGTGCAGTGTCGTGATGTTGGCTCACTGCAACCTCTGTCTCCTGGGTGGAAGAGATTCCCATGCCGCAGCCTCCCAAGCAGCTAGGACTACAGGTGTCCACCACCATGCCTGGCTAATTTTTGTATTTTTAGTAGAGACAGGGTTTCACTTCATTGGCCAGGCTGGTCTCAAACTCCTGGCCTCAGGTGATCCACCTGCCGTGGCCTCCCAAAGTGCTGGGATTACAGGTGTGAGCCACCGCACCCGGCCTCCATTTGTTTCTTTTGGAAAAACCCATATTGGGGACTGGAGTGCCAGGTCTCTGCAAGCCCCAGAGTGGCTGTGATGTTGCTGTAGCCAGCAACAAGGGTGTGGTGACACACTTCTCTATCCTGAATAGATTCTCGGGTTTGAGGGTGTCAAAGGATACCTCACCTAATACTAAAAAAACAGAAGCAAACAGAGCCATAGCGACACGCCCTCCAACACACGCTCCAAAATAAAATGAGAAATAAATGCGTTTGTAAAACATTCTGTTGAAATTTGGCATCTAGCCCAGATGGGACAGCTGCTGAACCTGCAGTTCCTCTTCTTCTCCTAAGCATGCTCAGAACAAGTGTAAATCAGACTCAGCCCAAATACAGATCAGGTAGGCTGCGATTCTCCCCACTTATAGCTGTAGTAGATCATTAGACTCTCAGAGTCTTAACCTACCCCTAGATCAGAGGGAGCTAATGCTCCTCTGATACCTAATTTCTTTCCTTTTTTTTTTTTTTTTTCTTTTAAGAGGACATGGGTTTTGTTTTTTGTTTCTGAGACAGGGTCTTGCCATGTCACCCAGGCTGGAGTGCAGTGGCATGATCTCACTTGAAATCTGCCACTGCATTCCAGCCTGGGTGAACGGGCCATCTCCTGGGCTCAAGTGATTCTCATGCCTCAGCCCCAAGTAGGTGGCACCATAGGCTCATGCCACTGCATCCAGCTAATTTTTTGTATCTTTGGTAGAGACAGGGTTTTACCATGTTGCCTAGACTGGTTTCTACCTCCTGAAATCAAGCAATCCACTTACCTTGACCTCCCAAAGTTCTGGGATTCTAGGTGTGAGCCACCACGCCTGGCTGATTTGAAACACAATTCCATTCTGTGGCAGATTCGACCTTCACTTGCTACGTAATAAACTGGTTTCTAAGACTCAATGAGTCACAATTTGGCAGGGGTAGCAATCTCATATGAATGCCATTTCTAATAGTGAAATAAGCCTCACCTAAAATCCCCGAGCTCTCCTTGTGTGGACGTGGCTTCTAGGTGGATGCTGCCGTGGTTGTAGAGAATTTAAGAGACCTGCCACTCACTGCTGAGTTATCTGGGACAAGTTGCTAAACCTTCCAAAATCTTATTTCCTCACCTATGAGATTGAGACAGGAATACTTTTTTTTTTTTTTTTTTTGAGTTGGAGTTTCGCTCTTGTTACCCAGGCTGGAGTGCAATGGCGCGATCTTGGCTCACCGCAACCTCCGCCTCCTGGGTTCAGGCAATTCTCCTGCCTCAGCCTCCTGAGTAGCTGGGATTACAGGCATGCACCACCATGCCCAGCTGATTTTTTGTATTTTTAGTAGAGACGGGGTTTCACCATGTTGACCAGGATGGTCTCGATCTCTTGACCTCGTGATCCACCCGCCTCGGCCTCCCAAAGTGCTGGGATTACAGGCGTGAGCCACCGCGCCTGGCCAGGAATACTATTTTTATCATAGGATTTTTGTGAGGAGTAGATTAGATCCGTCAGGTAAGGATTTAGCTTAGAGTAAGCACTTATTAAGTGTTGGTTACTATTATTATAATTATGCTTAGAAGGAAGCAAAGTTTATATTGGAAAGGTTCATAACAGATGGGCATGTTTGAGTGATTGACCTGCACTTACTTGTTGTATATCATCCAAACTGGGAAACATTTTTTGGTGTTCGTTTTTGGTTTGGTTCTCCAAATAGCTAAGGAAAGATGTGTAGCTGGACCTTACTCTTTGATTAAGAAGAGAAACTGAGAAATAACATATTTCTTATCTCTTGATCCCTGTTCTAATTTACCAAGGTTTAAAATTTCATGAGCTGATTGATTCTTTGCATACATCTACAAAGAAAGATTGGTCAGAATTTATGAATATTTACAGGAAATTCAGCGAAGTCTCCAAAAAGAGGCAACACAAATCAATTCATAACAGAAAGAAAAACATAAATGTTTTATGTTCTTATTAATGGCATTTCCCAGCTTACTAATGCTAGATGATCTTCCACACTGCACTTACGTTATTTGGAACTTACAGTATATTTTCCTAAAGAAGCAATGAAGTAGTGGCCGTCGCATTCCCATCCAGAGCTCTGCTCACCTCAAAGTCTATTTGAAAGTGTAGCGCAAATGTTGTAAGACGGCCTTCTGCAGTCTGGGATGGAGAAGAAAAGGTTCAAAGAGAACCTTCTCCGCAGCTCAAAGTTGGCCAGATAAATGTTTTCGTAGGAAAAGTTTGCCTTCAGCTTTTTCCCACCTCCTGTTTAGAATTTCTTTTTCAGCAACTAATTTTCCTCACATCTCCACTCCACGTGACTTTGCATTACCGCAGCCTCCCTCAGTGACCTCCATATGCATCTTCTGAAGATGGTCTTCATTCTAGAACCCTCTCTGACATTAATACCCGCTCCCTCAACGCTTCTGTTCCATGCTGGGGGAGAGCCTCTAATGGAAGAGTTTATCTCTTGCATTCTGAGAGGCTTTTTCACTTGTGAAAGGGGATCCTTCATTAGCTATTTAATTACTGAATTTATGGAATTTTTTAAAGAAATGAAATTGAGAAACTCGGGCACATAGAGGCATAAATGTGCATAATTGGGCAGAAGGTGGCATAATTGGGAGCCAGTTTTTATCACAGTCTCAAATTGGGAGACGTCTCATGTTAGCATGGAACAGCTCAGCAGGTGGAGTGGGGAGGGAAGAGGAAGGCTAAGACTGGCAGCGTAGGGCTGCCTGGGTTACCGTGATAGTGACAGCTGTCAGCCTATTCACCCTCTCTGGGAGAACATGGGCTCTTAACTGGTCCTGTATGGCTAGAAAATGAACCCTTTGTTATTAATATTTTTTTTAAAGATGGGGTTTCTTCATGATGGCCAGGCTGGTCTTGAACTCCTGACCTCAGGTGATACACCCACCTCAGCCTCCCAAAGTGCTAGGATTACAGGCGTGAGCCACCGCACCTGGCGATAATGAACACTTCAAACTTTTGGGAGGTGGTTGAAGCACATGCCCGATTCTTGGTAAAATTCATGCTCGTGAAGAAGTAGAGAAATGCCTAACTCATTTGACTATTTCCCCAGTGACTGCAGTCTACCTGAGAACCCTCTATTCATTGCATGTGGCGGCCAGCAAAACCACACCCAAGGGTAAGTGGATTCCAAAATTGTTCATAGAAAGAGTACATCTCACCTGGAGGGGTTCCCTGTAGAGGCTGAGAGTAGGGGATATGTAGAGACCGTTGTAGGTTCAAATTCCAGATTTGCCACTTACAGCTGTGTGATTTTTAAACTAGCTGCTTGAATTTTGGAGCGGTAGCTTTCTCCTTTTGCAAAACGGAAAAAACGCATCAACACTCCTGGAATTGTGCAATGGTGGATGTAAAGCAATTAGCACAGAGTGAGTTGCTCATTAAATGGTAGTGGCTGGGCACAGTGGCCCATACCTGTAATCCTAGCACTCTGGGAGGCTGAGACAGGAGGATCCCTTAAGTCCAGGTGTTCAGGACCAGCCTCGGCAACATAGAGCACTATAGCTACAAAAAATGAAGAAAATTAGCCAGGTGTGGTGGTGTGTGCCTGTAGTCCCAGCTACTTGGGAGGCTGACGCGGGAGGATTGCTTGAGCCTCGGAGGTCGGGACTGCAGTGAGCCGAGACCACACCAGTACACTCCAGCCCAGGCAACAGGGTGAGTGAGACCCTGTCTGAAAAAAAGAAAAAAAGAAATGGAGTTGGTATTACAACTATCAATATTATTGTTGTGATCATACACTTTACCCAGATTTCACCATGAAAATGTGTTTATCAGTGAGACAGTGTGGGGAGAAGCCCTCTGTAGTAAGGGCCAAAGATCTGTTTTTTCTTTTTCTTTCTCTTTTCAAGGTGGAGTGTTGCTCTGTCTCGAGGCTGGAGTGTAGTGGCACTGTCTTGGCTGACTGCAACCTCCACCTCCCAGGTTCAAGTGATTCTCCTATCTAAGCCTCCCGAATAGCTGGGACTATAGATGCGCGCCACCATACCCAGCTGATTTTTATTTTTATTTTTTGCATTTTTAGAAGAGGTGGGGTTTCCCCATGTTGGCCAGGATGGTCTCGATCTCTTGACTTTGTACCTCCCACAATGCTGGGATTACAGGCATGAGCCACCATGCCTGGCCCACTTCGTATTTTCGGAAATGATACTTCCTGCTGCAGTAAAGCACCAACCACCAGTCATTTGTGCATTCATTGGATAATGTTATTATAAATAGATGTATATTAATCTAACAATAGTACAAATAATAAAATACTGATCAGTGGGTGCCGGGAACTGGTTAGACACTAGAGATACCATTATGATGGTATTTACTAATCAGTAGGTGCCAAGAACTGGTTAGATACTAGAGATACCATTATGATAGTATTTGCTGATCAGTAGGTGCCGGGAACTGGTTAGACGCTAGAGATACCATTGCGATGGTATCTACTGATCAGTAGGTGCCGGGAACTGGTTAGACGCTAGAGATACCATTACGATGGTATCTGCTGATCAG